CCTAAATAATCCATTACTGTAGGGAATAACTACAGTATTACAAATACTAAGTTAAAGTTATTTTGTTAACTAAAGCCATTGGCAAATATTTAAGAATAGCCAAAGCATATGAATTGACAATAAAGAACAGATACAAGATAACAAAATTCTTACTTGTAGAATCTAGTGGAATAAAGTAAACACCTTACAATTTTTTTTATTTTTCTTTTTTTAATTTTGGGTTAATTTTACTTAGTTAGGAGCAAGCCTTCATGTGCACCCAGTAAATGCTTAGGCTAAAATCTGCTAATACAGCCAATTCTTTGTCAAAACATGATAGGAACATTTTATGGAAAGCTTGGTTCTAGGAATAAAATAATTTGGGAAAACTGCAGAGTATTTGCAATAGTTTACTGTATTGCAGTCCTCTAATTCATGGAAAAATTTGAGAGCCTGTGAATACGTGTTTTGCAATTTACACAGATACCTTGCGGAACCCTGAAGATGTGTAATTAATGTTAACGTGTAGCAAGTAATATTTAGTATTAAAGCATAAAGTCTACAGTAGAGATTCAGTAGAGATACAGTAGATATCTACAGTTCTCTTATGTCAACTCATGCGCACCATATCCCTGTGTGAGGAAAAAGATAAGTTGCAATCTTCCCATCTCTAATCAATTAGAGATAGCAGAGACCCCAGCCCCAGGTGCATCAGGTACCCAGGGAATTCAGGTGGATTTCTTAGCTATAAGCTAGCTCCTTGGCTGTGGGTCTGTGTCACAGCATAAACCACAGCTGAGACAGCTCCAATGCACAGGGCATCACCATACAATTTCAAAAGGCTTTAAGCATCCACCCATACAGAGCAACACCTTACCATATCAGAAGGCTCCAGACATCTGGCCTTCTTATCCTTTAGCCCAACCTTTTATACCCCTCATGTTGATGCATTGCACCTGTGTGCCCTCTGTTCCCTTTGGTGATTGGTTAGTGCACCTGGGCACTCCACGTCCCTTTGCTGTCAATGCTGTTCACCTGCTTCTCACAGCTGTAGCTCACTGGGGATGGGGCTTGGCCACAGCCCCATTCCCAATTACCACAGGCCTGTGCTGTAGCTGAAGGGAATGGCACTATAACTGCAAACATCTCAAAAAGTCTTCCTTCTAGTCATCAGTCCCATGCATGTTTTGCTCTGTTTCAACCAAACACTGTTAATCCAGAAACTATTTTTGTGGAGGTCCTAGTCTGTTTGATGGCATGGTGAACGTGAGGAATGATAGGTGGTGCTGAATGTCGTGTGCGTATCACTCACATGAGGCTGTGCTATCTGAGCAATTTGCCCAGGGGCTGCATAAAGTGAACAGAAGAGATTTGATTACTGTTCAGCTCCCTAAATAAAGAGTTTGTAATGGAGGCATGATTTACAATTATGTCTTGTTTGAGAGCATATCTTGGTAGTCCTTCAGCTTCAAAAAAGGCTCAGATTATTAATTCCATGTCCTACTCCCTCTCCCACGCTAATCACAGGGAAATGGAACGGGTACTTCAGTGGTCCTGGACAGTAAAAATGAAGCTGAAAGGAATATGTTTTCTGGTTGGCATCACCAGAAGACCATCTGGATTTAGTTTTGTCCTAAATTCTGATTGTGCTGCATCTAACTTAGCTCTTTCAGCAGTGATGAGTCTCTTGACATTAGTGATGCTCAGAGCACTTTGCAAAGGTAGCATTGTGATTGCTCTTATTTAAAGATAAGAAGACTGAGGCTCAAGGAAGAGAAGTGTGTTTGCTAGTGGCCTTTAATTGCTATTTGTTGAAACATAGAAATTCTAAGATGGATAGTAGTCAATTCAAGCTTTCACTGTAGCTAATGAACCTATGTTTGAATCATCTAGTGTGCAGGCTTTTAGGACCCTGGCAGAGGTTGCAGATTTCTCTAGATCATTTCAGGACCAGAGGCTGGATCTCAAGGTGCCACTCACTGTTGTTCCATACTCACATGTAATTGAGTCTGGGCATGCATGATCAGCACCAATCTGTCAGCATAGTGTCCTGTGAAATCCTGAAGTTGTATGCCCAACCACCACAGAGAAGAAAATCAATGGTGGCCTCTGTTCAGCTGTGGTTGAGGTTCCTGAGCTCTAGACTGTGAATGCATGGGTACATCACACAAGAGAGTGACACTCCGTGATGGACTGTGACAGTGCAAAGAACATACTCTGCATTGTGTGCAATGAGCATTCCCACTGTAACATGGTCCATGGCCTGCGTGCCAGAGTCTGCCCACGGCTGGTGCCTTCGGATAAATTAGTGAGCGATGGTTTGTTGTACTGGGAAGAAAACACAGTCCTCTTACCTTGTGTAAATGCAGGCAAAGGAAGACTAGTAAAATATTTGTCTATGGTAGGGCAGTGTCATCTAGTTACCAGCCTACCAGCTGTCAGGCTCCTGACTCACATGTAATGCAAACTCGACTATTTAATATCCTCCACTTCACAGCAAAATTTCAAAGTCCTTTTAGGGCTTATGGGCTTTTTTTGATACCATCTTATTGCAGTATTTCCTAAGAGCACCTTTGAGGTAGTATTTTCAAGGTATTGATGCTGCCTGGCCCTTGAATGCACTCAGCGGCATGAGGGGACGCTCTTCAAAGCCATCCTGAGTGCAGGCTGAGGCCTGAGAGGTCTCCAGGACCTGTGAGAAACATTTGTGGTGAAAACCAAGGTCAGAGCTACATGCTTTTGGGAACATTGGATATGTTTATCACTGGGGTGGAGGCAGTGGGAGGGAACGGGTAGGGAATGTTTGGTTTTTTGCTGGATTTTTTTTTTTTTTTGTTCCTTTAGGTGGAAGGTTTTGCTATGTTGTTCAGTTATTGCTTCAGGTGGAAAATCATTTCCCACCTAGCAGCAAAAGTATGCCTGGCAAGCTGAGAAGTGTTTTAGAAGCAGCACTTCATAAAGTTGATTTTCAGCCAAAGTCAAGTCCTTCTGGGAGCTGTTACAACTGGGGATATTTCTTTGCAAGGTTGAAGCTACTCTGACTTTGGTGACTGAGAAAACCTCTTACTCTTTACAGGGGCTGGACAAGTGGTATCAATTCATGTCACTTTTTCTTCTGCCTAGACCCAGTTAAGGCAGGTTCCTGAAGCTCTCAGACCCAAGCTGGAGCAGGAAAGAGGCATGTTGCCATAGTAAAGCAAAAGGCTTACTAACAAGAATATGTGAATTACTGAAATTCAGGAACTATTTAAATACTTCTGTGACCCATTCTTCAGGCCTAGAGCTCCCATTTATTTTTTTATTATAGCATAGAGAAATAATCTTCAAGTGAATGAAGGAATTTCAAATTAGTAAGTTTCAGAAGGGATGAAATAAAAGTATTTTACCAAAACACATATTGATGAAAGTCTGGAAATGAAATGCTTTTGAAAAAAAAAATTGTTAAAAGATCTGTCAATCACAGTGCCTTTATCTGGAGGAATCACACTGGTTACAAAGTGTATACATCAGAATCTATTGGTCACTCAGATGCAATCATTATGAGTCAAGACATGTAGTATTATATTGCAATTGTAGTAGTATATATGTGTTTTTCATGGCCAGTCTTTGAAAACGGGCCTGGTTGTCGCCACAGAGAGCCAGTATTTTAGGATCTAAATAAATTATTTTATTCTTTGTATATTCTGGGAAAAAAACTCCGAGCTAGTGTGAACAAGGTAGAATATTTAGTCTATCCTCCAGTTTTTTGACCATATATTTCAGACCCATATATTCACTGAACAGTTTAGCTTCTCATCTGTCTTTTTTTTCTTCTAATCTTGTGCCAGGTGTTTAAGAAGCGGGCAGCAGTGGTATTTCAGTAACCTGCTTTCGACATTATTTGCATACCTTTGTGTTTTTCCATGGTGATCAATGCTCAACTGTAGTGGAACTTCAGTCAGTAAATTTTATGTGCAACTGCTAGAGTAATTTTTTTTTAATTAGTCCATTCTAGGAATTCTAATGTCCCTTTATGAATATTTATATTTTCAATATGTCTTCATTTAATTGAGAAGATTTTTCACATTGTTTTCAGATAATCACAGGTAGTATGCATGATGATAAGTCAACATCTGACTCTATTTCTCTTAGTTCATCCACATTTTGTTTTTCCATGTATATTATATTTTAGTTTATTCATAGTTTTCCTTCATGGGCTGTTGGAACAGTCAGTGTTTTCCATGCAAATACCTTAATAAACTGCAGAGAAAGAAAATATGCTATTGCATACTAGCAGGTGTCATATAGACTGTCTTGAACACTTTAAGCAGTGTGTATGGCTACTAGAAATCCACACTGAAATAATGTTTGATTTGTCCAGAACTTTCTGATACACAAATACAAAGCATTTAGTACTATATTCTGGTTTGTTCATTGAAAGAGTGTTGGGTCTGTGCTCTTGGATTTGGAATCTCTATGAACTTACCTCAAAATCCTGGATAAAACTGAATGGAGACATTTAGAATTGATTAGCATGTGCAAATCATATTACTAAGTAATCCTGCTGATTTACTGATTTTAATTTTTGAATTGTAGTGGTTTTATTCCTTTCATTTTATTGAAAAGTCTTCTTTTGCAAATAAATCCCCTGTAGCTGGTGGTTCTGCTTGCTAAAAGAGAGTCCTGTGTACCACAAGTTATTAACATATCAGTAACTTATACTGATTAATTCAACTTCATGTAAATCAGAATAAAAACTTTTTGCAGCTCAGAGGTGATCAACAAGATGCTACAGCTGGAAAATACTTCCTCTTGAGTTTTTGCTGAATTTTTTTTTTCACTTTTTCAAGGTTGTTACATACTTCTAGAAGAGCATTGCAGAAAAGGTTTATTCTTTTTGTTCTCTGTCACTTCTGAAATATAATTTGTTTTGCTACTAGTGCATGTGAGTCCAAATATATGACATATTGAATGTATTAATTAATTCTTGCAGCTCAGCCTTAGACTGAAATTTAATAACATGTATAATTTGTTTTTCCCAGGTTATACAAGTCTTTGTCTGAAGGATTGAGTCTGAAGAACCAGCCTAGCTGTGCTTTCAGTACTTCTGAAGGGGGACTGCAGGGAAGGGAGGATGTTGTGACTCTAACCTATGGCCAGATTGAGGAGCTGGCAGCTCAGCTGCAGCAGACTCGATCCGAGCAAAAGGACACCGAGCTGAAGCTCCAGAAGGCCCTGGAAGCTTCACAGGAGGCCAATGAAAAAGTTCAAAAGTGAGTCACTTGCCTTCCAACAAAAATTGCAGTTGTAATCCACAGGAAGCATTTTTTTCGGTATTTTGTCTATAACTGAAAGTGTGGCAGTACTCAGAAAAGGTCCTTTAAAATGATTCTTCCTTTGTCAGCTCATTTCCTACTCAGTGTGAAGCTGATCATTTTAACAGTTTTGTGCTATTAGGCAAGTCAGGGTACCTCTCATTACTGTTAAGGAAATTGCTTCCTACACGTGCAAGGCACAGAGAAAGTCTTTCCATCTCCTATGAATGGTTTTCACTGTTCTTTTACCCTGTGGCAATCCTATGGCTACAGAGTATTTCCCTTTTTAATTGCATGGTAGAATAGTACGGTTCTCATTTTTGGTCTGTTACACATCTGGCAGGTTTCATGCCACAGTGAATGCTTATGGGGTTGTTTAGGGATGGCTTCAAAATCTCACTGAGAGCCACAGGAAGTCTCTGAGTTGGTGAACAGAGATTGTATTCTCTTTGCCATCATGAGTTTCCCTGTTAAAAGGTTACTGAACTCCAAAACCTGAAGTTCATCTCTAGTGAAGTACTTATTGTCATGTTTGTTATTAGTTGTGCCTCTTGACAGTCCGACACTTCTCATCTCTGCATTACATTCATCAACCGCAAAATTCTCCTCTCTCATCCTTCCAAGGTGGTCGATGCTGAGCTGATGCAAATTGTCCTGTCTGTCCATATATGTCTTCAACTTAAATGTCTACAGCATATTTACAGAGTAGCCAGAAATTGGCTTATAATATATTGCAAGGACCTAACAAAAGCTTTTCTTTAAAAAAAAATATGCTGAGTTCTTCTATTTAAAAATAGTTATATTCCTATATTTTTAATTTATTCATAGCTACATGAAATATAATTAAGGTATTTATCTATGAAAATGCATCTTTTTAGTCAACTCTTTAAATCCTCCAGTGATTGTTAGATAATCACTCAAGTCTTTATTCTGAGCGCTTAGACATATTTGAAACTTTGAGAGATGTGTGCTTGATAAAAATAAACCTATTTAAAAAATTAAGTAATGGTAAAGAGAATATCGGTAGAACCTTTTTAACTTTTTTTAGTTGTTACATCTAGTTTTATTTATAAATGTTTAATAATATAGCTATTTAAGCAGAGGTTGGGTTTTTACTGGTTTGGGTTTTTTTTTTCCTAAAGTGAAACAGTCTTGTTTAATCCCATGTACCCAGGGTGGCTAAAGTAGAAGTGCAGCCACAAACTGAATTAAAGTAGTGGTGGTGCACCACTATAGTGAAAAGAATTTATGTAATTTAACATGCTCAACTACTTGGGAAAATTTTGGTCAGGTTAGTTTTCATTATTGTTAAGATCAGACGACTGAGCCTATAGCAAAATCAAACAATTGGTTGGAGTCTTTTGATGACAATAGCATGCCCTTTTTACCACGAAACTGTGGAAATGCTCTGCGCGTCTTCCCAGCACCCGGAGTCATCCACCCCCATCTTATAATTCAACCTGCAAACAGATTAAGCAGCTGAGTTTGTGGAAAGTGTGTTTACTTTGAGCTAAGAACCCTTGTGTGACACTATAGAGATTCCTCTGACACCTCTGGGAGAGCTACACAGACAGTTCGTACTCATCAGCAGGGAAACCGGGCTGAGAATTCCCAATTTCTTTGTAACCTCAACTGCTTCATACAAATCAGTGTTTGGCAATTAGGCAGGAACTCATTTGTTAGCTTAGCATTTTATTTAGAAGATGTAGGATGTTCTACATTTCAAAAAAGGACTGACAATTTATAAACCTGTCAACAGAAAGGCTTTTTGGTATTAATTACAGTAGTATTAATTATTAGCACTGCCTTAAGAGGATGCTTAATGTAGTTTAAAATGTGTCACTAAAATTCATAGACTAAAGACTGTTATAAAATAATCTGTTTTCTTGACGTTTTTAAATGCTCAGCTAAGATTGAATTCTGACATATGAAGGAAGTAGTTTTGTCAGTTGCATAAAGTAGTTTCTCAATATTATTCAGTAAAATAGCAACAGTTGAAAATCAGAATAGTGAAATAATTATGACCTTCATTAAGAAAGAACATTACTGCAATTAAGAATGTTGAGAAAAGATGTACTTTGTGTCTTCATACAATGTAGTTTACTGGTTTTACACTGCCTTTGCTAATCTGTTCTCTGGCAACACTAAAGAATTTTTTAATATTCTTAAAAACTTCAGTGTTTGCATTCAGCATGATATACAGAGCTTAAAAGAGAGTTGTAATTCTCCACAACATTTGCATCATGTCAGCCATTTGTGTACCCACCAGTAGTTGCTGCTTTCTAGAGGTGACACCTGAGTCAGAATAATGGTCCTGTGCTTTCCATCAGGACAAAAAGCATCTAAAAAATTTCTTGATCCTATCCCACACAAAACAGCAGGGGGATGTGAACCAGGAGTGAGATGTTTTGGTATCTACTTATAGTCAACTTGGGTGTAGTAAACATCTGTTTATACTGAAGTAGGGTGAGCATCTCACATTGGCAAGCTGCTGCGTGAGATATAAATTGAGACTGTCTGCTCTTGCCTGTGGAGATGATTCACCATCCTAACAGGGGTGCTGGTGTAAAACAAGAAACATTGATGCTCAGAGGGTGGCCACATAGATTTAGCTGCATTTGCTTGAATCTCTTTTGATTTTGAGACACTATCAAGATACACTTAGACTTTTAAGAGAGCGCTATACTTTATAAAGCAAGTACGTATTCTAACTGGGGTCTATGTAAATAAATACATGTATGTACACACAAAACAATACATATTTATTCAATATACTATTATGATCTGCACAGTAATATTTTTAATCAATACTCTGGAATGGCTATGACTATAATTTTCTATATTTAATTAGTATTTCTATTTTGTGGTCACAAAGAATTAGGACAGGAGCACAGAATTCACCAGGAATGTTGGTATAGTACCACAGGCCCCCTGCAAGTTTGTCCTGCTTGAGAAGCCAGGAGCCAGCTGGTGCACTCCCAGCAGGGAAATGGGGCTGACCTGGAGAAGGTGGCTGGGAGAGCCTGTGAATTAATTAATACCTCTGCCAACAGAGGAAGCGAGGCATTTTAAAAATGTCCTTCCGGCTGGAACCTCTGGGATTGTGGAGTGGTTGCTGATGTCAGTGAGATCAGAGCAGGTTATAATGTAATACCAAATCAATATTAGCCAATTATCGGTAAAGGTTGAGGCCACTTTTGATGTTTTTCCAGGAAATGTTCTATTTTTCTGCAACAGCTTTGCAGCTGGAGTGAATTTTAATGCAATTTGTCTTTTGGGGGCTTCTATTTTCTTCTCATAATTTAATGATTCTAGCTCAGTAAAGTGCAGTTCTGCATGTGAGCACAGCTACACTTGCATAGTCATGTAGCTGTGTGAAGTGGCAGAGGAGGGTGAGTGGGTAGAATTTCTATGTAATCCTCTAAAAATAAACACAAATCCACCAAGTAGCAGTGCAGTACTAAAATATACAGGTATGAAAATAAGCATAAATGGTGAGTAGGATCCTGTTGTGTACTTCGTCAAGGTAGTTCTGACTATGAATAAAGTTAGTATAAAAGTGATGTAAACCAGAAGTCATTGCTTCATTTGTCCTTAACTGTTTATTAGAGACCTTTTCAATTTTCTTTTTCTTTCTTTTAAAGAGGAATTTGGGAGAATTACAGCTTTGGATAAAAATTTTTAGTTGATTTAATACATAAGAAAATTAAGTGGTCTTCTGTATTAAATTCTATCCTTAATAACATTGCCCTAGGGTCTGATTTTCTTTTTTGACCACCTAAATTTCATTGTGACTGGAATACATCCTTTATTTGTTTAGTCCTGAATTCCCCTCCAGCCTTTTTGAAAATGCTTTCTCTGCTTTTGTACTTTTTCACTTATTTTCTTAGCTGATGCTGATATATAAGTTGATCTATGAAACAACAAAAACAAACAGTTGACATGGATGAAAACAATACAAAAAATGTAAGGAAATAAAGAAATAAGAAACAATTAAGTAGTTAGTGTCCCCCTCTTCTGCAAGTAAAACTAATCTGCCTTCTGAGTGCGGGAGCTGTGTGTATTTCACATCAATGTCCAACACGTTCTTCAGTGCTGGCTGGAGGGTCTAATCTTTCCCAGAATGATCAGAGCAGTGCAGTTGAAGAGCAAGGATGAATATTTGAATAATCACACCACAATGTGAGGTGACCCTCCGACAGGGGACTGACCACATACACATATGGATTTTGGGAAGAAGCTCTGATGCTCTTTTTTAACACAGCTGTGAGAAGAATGTGGCTAAGACCCAGTAGTCTTTCTTGAGTATAGCTGGCAAAGGAAGCCATGAGGAGAAGAGAATTTAACACATGGGTGTAAGGGAGTTCACTTCATTGATGCGATCTGAGGGGAATGTCTAATGACTGGAAGAATCAAACTTGGCAATGAAAACACAAAGCTCTTTTCATCAATTCAAATGCTGACTCTAAAGCTGCAGATGGTTACCTCCAGCCTTGCCTATTCAGTGTGGGGTTGTATAAAATGGCACTTTGGTGAATACTAATAGATCAAAACAAAGATTTAATAACATAAAGATGTGGTGTTCATTTTTAAATGAGGATACAGGTCAGTGTCTCAGAAAAGAGCGAAATGAGTATCTTTATGTATGGGTCTAAAGTCTCTGGAGATTTTTAACTGCAAACATATCTTTAGTGTGCAGATTGTATTCAGTACAGGGCAGCTATGCAAGGAACAGGCTAAAAGCAAGATTTCAGAATTATTATACTAATTGAGCCTCTTTGCAACATGCAAATGTTGTTAACTAGTTATCTCCTTTTAAAATCATACCTACATATATTTAGCTGAAGTATACATTGTAGCTTGTATGCGTTGAGCTACTTGTTGTAGGAAAGAATGGAGCAGTTAATTAGAAATTGCAGGCAGAAGCACTTCACAAAAGAAACAAGTTGTACATTCAC